TGAATGGCAAAGGGCACACTGGGCTAAACATAAAGGGCCCATCCCCCAGAATGAACCACAAAACCCTGAGGAGAATTGAACAATGAAGAACACAAATGAACCCATTCATTGCTCTGCATTGTTTTCAGATCAAATTTAAAGTGGTCACTGCCTCCCCATTTGTGGTGACTGTGGCTTTCAAAGGCTGCATTAAAGTATTCATATTCCCTTCTTCCCATGTATACCTAGAAATAAATGATAACCTATGTTCCAGCTGTGGAAAAGGAGTGATAGGCTACTGATTAAATTGGTAGCTGGCATTGTACTGAAGCCGTGATGTAGGCTTCTGGGCACCATAAATCATGTATATTTTCTTATGTATTATAAAGTTATACAAAATATATTGAGAACTATGTTTAATCCTGAATATATCCTACCTAATCTATATGATGCTTAAAAACTGTACACTTATACTTAGGATCAAGGGCATGTTAAGCAGTAAAAGCAAGTTGATTTCAGTGGCTCTACTGAGAACATCTGGATCCAACTCATGGTTCACAGTGAGAACGTAGTCAAAGATAATTACAAGTCTGCTACTTTTCAGCATTCTAAACTGTGCACTGATAACTGAACATTCATATGCTTGAATGAAAACTACTTAGAATCAGAATTGGATATCTCTGTGGGCAGACATTACACAAACACGAAAGAGCATTGTATGATCGCTATACCAGATGGCCTACTTAGGAAGATGATCCATTAACAAAAAATAGACTCATTATCCAATTAAAATGGGGGATTTCTGAGTCCTCTGTTTCAGAATATGAGGACTTTGCCTTGGTGTTTACATAGAATAGATTGACTGCTGAACTTTCAGTCATTCAGGGGCTATTAGCTGTGTTTGATGACCATAATGGCTGGGCTTGTTTGAGGAGGGACATTACTAGGCGATGGAGCTTATTATGTTTAAGGCTTTATGTCAGCAGCAAATGTTAGCTTTAAATCTTACTAAATAGTATGCGACAAATAGACCTTTACAAATATAAAACAGGCAACATGACTGTATAAATTGCAAAAAGGGAATCTGCCTGAAATATGTATACCAGCCTTTCCCAACCTGTTGTCATTTGAACTGAAAGCTTAGTTGATTTGCATTCACAAGGCACCAACTATATTTAACTTGGGTAAGCAGCATTTACAATTTTTA